TTGCTCTATTGTATTTCAAATGTTTTCTGTGTTCTTCCTGTATGTAGGTTGTGATGATCTGGTGGGTGCTGTGTTTGAGATGGCTAAAACCCTGAGTCGGCTACAGCTGTCTGAAGAGGAGATGGCTCTTTTTACTGCCACTGTGCTTCTGTCTCCAGGTAGTTTTACTATAACATTAGTTTAAAGTAATCTTTAACTAACAGTGTTTCCAAAGGACACATAGCCAGACATTAGAGCTTACTCTTCCACTTATTTATTTCACAGACCGTCCTTGGTTAACAGATGCTCAGAAGGTGCAGAAACTTCAGGAGAAGGTTTATGCTGCATTGCAACACTGTCTTCATAAAAGTGGTGCCCCCGAGGAGAAACTGGCAAAGGTACTGGGAAAAAATCTAAAGAATGAATGATAAGTTTACACTCTCACAGCAGTTAAATATGAGAAAATCAGGACTGTCAAAATAAACATATGCGATTAATAAATATATTTATGCCGTTCTTATTTTTATGCAGTTCACACACTTAATCAATTTGACATTTTAACTCTTTTTATGTACTGTGTGAATTCTAAAAACTGAGCAACAATGACAATTTGTGACAGATCTGTGCTACAAGAGTTCACCCACGAGTCCTGTTTGTCAGAGAATAATGGAGACGGCTTCATTTTATTATGAATATTTTAATAATAGATGTCAGAAATTATTTACTTTTTAAATCAAACCCAGATGCCATTTGCAGTCTTTTTATGGTGAAATTGAATTTAGATTTAAATGTATTTTTGTGCAAATGAGTGTCATTCACACAAATGAACCAATAGCTGCACATATTATTTAGTATTATAAATAATTGTTACACATTACTCTTCAAATGTTTGAGGTCAGTAAGTTTTTAAAAGAAATTAATACTATTATTCTACAAAGATGCATGAAATTGATCAAAAGTGACAGTAAAGTCATTTATAAAGATACAGAAGATTTCTGTTTTATACATGCTGTTCTTTTGAACTTTGTTTAATATCACAGTTAACAAAAAAATTAACAATATTACTGTTATAACTGTATTTGAAATCAAATGAATGCAGCTTTTTAATCATAGTCTATTGTTTTCCCTAAAATTCATTAACTTTTCACTACAAGAACATACATTTGAACATTTAATAATTTGGTCAATCATATCAAACTATTATAAATAATGTTTTTTTTTTAGTCAGGTTATGTAAAACTTACTATCTTTTCTTTTTCGGTTGTGTCACTAGATGGTGTCCAAGTTGCCCATGATGAAGTCTATTTGCAACCTCCATATTGATAAGCTGGAGTTTTTCCATCTGCTTCACCCAGAAACGGCCTACAACTTCCCTGCTCTCTTCAGAGAAGTTTTCTGCAGCGAGATCTCCTTCCCAGACTCCACTGAGGGCTAACAGTCATTGAAGTGTCATATTGGCTCTGTTGAGAGACAGAGAGAGGAAGAGACCGTTAAAGAAAGACAGGGAATGGAAATAGGAGGAGGTAGTTGGATATGTGTTTGAGAAAAACCAGCAACACACTGACAATCTTGCACGTTACACTTTAGGACTCCATCTATAAAGTCCTGATGGAGTGATTCACTCCTCTATTTGAACAGGACCCAGATTTCTTGTTAAATGTCAGCAGTCATTTAAGGTGCTGGTTACTATTACTCATGAAACCTACATATAATGACTCAAACAGAGCAAATGATGTATATTTAATTAAAAAGAGTACTCGATTAAACCTGGAGCTCAGATCTCCCCTAAAAAATTAAGTGCTTAAAGTGGATCCTTTCCATTTTGCGGGTACTCTTAGGAAGAGAACTATGAATGTAACCCACCTGACATGTGGCAAAGCCTCAGGATTAAGACAGAATGTATTATGTACTCTTGCCCCATATGTAAAGCAAGCTCTTAAGGCTTGGTTTCTATAGACGAACAGTTTTGAATCCATGCGAAACTGTTCAAAGGGACCAATGCATACACACCTGAGGTTGTAAACGCCACATGAGCACCTTCACTTTCACAGACTCAACACTAACGCACAGCGCACTGCACAGACCACATGTGCACATGGTGTGTTGTCGTTTGAGCTCTTTATTTTTGCATATAAATTTAAAAGATGCAACTAAACTAACGAAAACCTCATCCTTATTACCCTTTCCCACGCAAATGCCACTTGGATAAAGATATTTGATGATATTTTGATATCCTCATTTGATCGGAAACCACATGTATATAGAATGATAGATGTAATTGAGAATATATTTATAAACAGAGCCTGTAGATAGCATATGTAGGCAGAGATATAAAGTTGCACCTTAGAGTGGATGCTCTTAAGCCCTTTCAAAGACTTCTCAACCATAGGAGTGGAATTCTGGGCTGGGGTTGGAATTGGCGTGACAAGCTTTAGATTTAGAGGCAGATGGATGGCACTTAAATACTCCACAAAAAAGGACTTTGCAGGAGCAGGACTTTGCTGTCGCCTCACATTAGATGGCGAAAAGACAATGCCTCTATGAGACTTTCTGAAGTGTAGCAAACCACTCATACGACTGCTGGGAGCAAAGCCTCAGGAGAACGCAAAGAACACTGAAGGAAGTGGATGGAAGGAACCTTATATCTTTTAGAGACAACAGACAACCTGAGCTCGCTGTCAAGTAATGAGGACACCACAGAAATGCCGTAATTCAGACTTTTCTGATTCCGCAGCTGTGAGGATAAGTGGATTCACAGGCCGTACCTCATGCTTTGCATTGTGTCTGATGTGGGGATCAGTGTTGTGTTGCTGTGTGATTATTTTTTCCCCCGTCATCCATTTACTCTTTGTTCACCTATAGCACAAACGATTGGTTGACAGAACCATCAGCTACCCCCCTGAGTTAGGGAATACTATGGTTAGTTTGTGTTCTGAAACTTTGCGGTTCAAACCTGAAGGAGAAAAATCTACTATCTGTCCGCAGTGTGAAAGCAGCCTTCGTTCTTCAGAGGCAGGAAGTCCAGATTGGTCTCGGGAGTTTTAGGAGTGGCCCAGAAACCAGAATACAAACTAAAGCCCAAAGGAGGGCTTTTCAAAACCCTTTAGTGCCCAGCTATGTAAGATTACAGGGTATGAAAGATGTTTCGAATGATTGATTAATATCAACGTCCAGTTTCCTGACAGTTAATTTTAACAAGCTCGCCTGACGTTTTATTTTTGCACTGCTGGAACAGTGCCTGTCTATATTTTCTTGTAAGATTTTATATTGTTGGTATAATACACATTTTCTGGTTTTTTAACACAGTATCACAGTGTCTGCCTGTGCAATAGTCTTTCCATTTTTAGTATTGACAGCCCTCACAAGCCAAGGATCTCCTTGGATTTCATAAGCACTCCAGCTCAGATCGTGTAACACCCCCTTGCTAAGTTCTTTTACATTTTATTTTTTTACGCTTGTGTATTAGCTAACTTAAATTGACGTGTGAAGGTGGAGAAAGATTGTAACAAAGTGCAAATACTTTGTAAAAAAAAAACAACAAAAAAAAACATTTAGAGTTTTAGATGATGTATTTTTGTGGAGTGTAATTCGCCACCCTACAAACTGCCACAAGTGGCCCGTCCTTGAGGGTAGTTCTGGAAGTGTGCGTTTACATCTACACTCAGTCACTCAGGGAGATAGTTGGGTTCTCTGTCCTAAAATGTCTTCTTCAGTTAGCCTAGCAAGACACCTTGCACCAAATAGAAGACCTTAAACCTTGATCACTGTGTACGGTAACTTTTCTTGTGAATGTTAATCGCAGAAGTATCAAAGAATTTTACCCGTTTTATATCAGTGCTATTGGAGGACTTTTTCAGTTTGACTTGCTTAAAAAAAAAAAAAAAAGAATAGGATCAAAACTATAAGATATATATGTAAGGATGAATTTAATCTTTAAATCTAGTATTGTATTTTTTGTTTATTTTTGTGATATTTTCTTTCATAATTTCTGTCCTTTTCTGTAACATTTTTTCACCCGTGTAGTGTCATCCTTTGTCTTGAAGAATTAAAATCCTATTTTTTTAAAGAGCATTTTTAAGCAGAAAATCCCCTACAAGAGTCCTAAATCTTTGCCATGGTCCTTCTGTGGTTGTTTCAGTTGTAACTTTATTTTTAAGCAAATAAATCATATTATAGATTTTAACGAATATAATTTATGGTGTATTATGGATACAGAGAATAAAACAAACACATTAAAAGATATTATTGTACAATAAGGATTACACGCATGGATTCCAGAATGTAATAAAGGTCTTTTTACTTTACACTGAGTGTTTTGTGGCTACTGAAAATTTCATTTTAATTAAAAAAAAAAAAAATTCATTAGGACTTATTTCAAAGTAAAATGCAATATAAATATTTATATAGTCTACTGTTCAATGTATTGAGCTTAGTTAGATTCTTATTATTTTATAAAGTAATACTTTTATTTTACAAAGTAGCATCTTGATTGAAAGGGACTGTTTAGACTTACATCGTAATAAATATATATATAATTTAAATGTATGCTGTTTTTTTTTTTTACTTTTCATTGAATAATAATAGATGTTAAGCCACACAACCGCTTAACTGTAATAAGAAATCAGCTTTGCCATTAAAAATGTTACAAATATCTTTGCCATTTTAAAATATATTAAAATAGAAACATTTATTTTAAATTGTAATAATATTTTACACTTACTGTTTTTGCTGTATTTGTGATTAAATAAATGCAGCCTTGGTCAGCATAAGAGACATGAAATTGACAAGAAATATAGTTCAGTTATTGCTGTTAATCTAATAGATTTAGTTCCAATGACAAAATGCTGTGCCAAGATCATCTCAGCATAGTATTGTGGCAATAATAAACTAGCAGTCTATTTGTAGAGCTCTAAAATAGACATCTGGCTCCATCATCTGGTCAATAGAAGCACTTGCGCTGTGGGTGCAGTGCATTTCCTGAGCGGTAGCGGGCGCTGCTGTCCCGCTTCCAGTCCCTTCTCCGCTCGCGCAAGGAATGTGCTTGCGTTGTGCAGAAAACCGCTAGTTTCTCAAGACGTACAAATGCGGTGGATGCACTGTAAACCGTATTGAAGTCACAATTTAGTAGAAAGCCACCCGAAGAACATATAATAACAGCTTTATAAAACCTTTCCCAGCAGCCACCTGGAGTATTTTTGTGGAGCGGGTGTCGTTTATCGTTTATCTGAGGACTTGAGTTTTAGATTTCACTCAGCGACCGTTGACTTTTGTCACACTGTTGTGTCAGTATAAAAACCTACTTTACAAGTCTTTTTTTTCGTCGAGAAAAGAGGATTACGCTTTGAAGATGTCCGTGGCGGGCTTAAAGAAGCAGTTTTACAAAGCCAGCCAGGTTTGCGAGTTACTTTTTTTCTGTTGTTTTCTTCCATTGAACCGCAAATGCTGTGCCAATTAGCTTAGCCTGCTAACGCTGCGCCAAACTTCAGTCCGCTATTCTGCATTTTAAAAGTATTTTGTGTGTGTTTCTTCTATGTGTATTTAACTCTTTCTGAATATTTACAATGATAATCCGTGCTGTTGTTTAAATGTCATATCCCTGTAGATTTATAAACTGCTTGCTTTTGTATTTATTGTCGGTTTTGCCCTAAATTGCAGTCATTGCAATATTTAATATTTTTGACAGCTTTCACTGGTCATAAATAGTCAGCGTCACTTTATGGGTGCGTTCACGCCTAATTCGAGGTTACAATGTGTTAAAAATATGCACAAGAGTGTCTGTTTTCTTTTAGCTTGGTATTGCAATACAACGCCCCCGTCCTTACTATATCACTCCATTTGCCACGTTTACTGCAGTAAAATCTAAGCATATGTTCACGATCTACTCGTGAGTTAAAGTTGTTTTAAAATATAAGCATATATATATATATGCAAACTCTGCACAGAAATATACAAAGAATATACTGCAGTATCAGGTTTACCCAGTATTACCGCAGTTTCCTTCAATGGCATATGTTGGACAGTCACGTTTTGTTTGTGTCTCTCTGGTTTCTATGGTTCACACTTTATGCTGGCAATATGTAGCTGGAAAATATAGTGCTGGCTTTCGTTTTAAAAATGAGCAAAAGTCAGTAATGTAACTTGTCAGTGGGTTAAAGAAACCTGCATGTGATTAAACAAGCAGAATTTGGGTCAGTCCTGCTGTGCAGTACCTTTTAAGCTCTTTTAGAAATAAATATTTGTATAAATATATTGCATATATCAAAGTTTTGTATTTTTAAAGAAGAGTATGCCAATGTTTCAGACATGTTTAGGTGAAGTACTTCAAATGTATTAATTATATTGTATTATTTACACAATGGCCAGAACATTAAATACAGAATATATGAAAATTCTTATATTCAGGATGAAAATAACAAGCTTTGCTCAGTGAGGAATTAAAGTTTTAAAGTCTGTAATTTTGAGACAAAGCAGCTACTACCACAAAACATCACAGAATTTATCACTGGTGTTTTTTAAATAATGGGATCTTACAAAAGATTAGCAGGATGGAAAGTGGAAGCTGAAAACTGTCAGAAAACTGACTGATGTTTCTATTGGTTTCCAATTGTATGTTAACAAATACATGAATGCATATGATGGGAGCATGGACATGTACTGTATAACAGCATTAACAGCAGATTTTTTTTTTCTGGCCAGTAATATCTAAATAAAATTATATCTATTTAGTTTAGCTAAATATTGGATTATTATCATGGTAAAAGCAAAGCAGAGTGATGCATGTGCGTGGGCTCGCAGCAGGCAATGTGTTAGCTTAAAATGTGCCAAAAGTCTCACTTTGACCCTGTGAAGACAATCAAATGTGTTATCATGAAAACCTCTCCCTGATTTTGGCTGCTCTTGCGTTGTTGTGGTGGTGTTGTGAGAAGGTTCTTTGTCTGTGGTTTATGGTGTAATTAACTCAAGACTTAATGTGTTTTTCGTCAGTTTGTTAGTTTCTCGTTGCCAGCGGTTGTTTTCCAAAGGACACATGAGCACAGATGTAGGGAAAGCAGCGCATCTCTGTCCCTGTTCGCTGATCTCAGCAGGAAGGGACAATCGGTTGCCCAATTTCCTGTTAGGAACATGCTCAGATCCCCAGTGGGGGGGTTTACATGAGTGGAGGAGTACAGCAGGGCAAAGGAAAATGGCCAGCATTTGGGCCTGAGAGGCAGAGTATGAATCATGCAACACTTACGGGGGTTGCTGTGCTCTCTTCTGCTCTGCCTGGCTCTTTTTATTGGACTGCAGTGCTGCAGTAAACTCGTGCCAGCATTCCACAGTAATCAATACTTGACACCGGCCGGACACCCTGCCAAAAGACAAACTCGTGACACCAGTCACACCCTCAGTCCAGCCTTCCTCTCGGTGTGCTGTCCGGAGAACTGTGTGAGCTACTTTGAGGTTGCTTTTTTAATGTACACACCAGGGAATGTTTTTAATTTTGCTTTTTGTCTGAGCAGGAACAGTGTTTTTATGCTCTGGATTTCTGCAGCCTTGTTTCCAAATGGTAGTGGTTCTAATTAAAATCGTAAGAATTAGAATGACTGACGTGATAAATAACACATCTTACCACAGCTTAACCTTTGTGGTATAGAACCTTGATGTGCTTGCTGCACAGGGACAGGGTTATAAAATGCTTAACTTGGCAAATATAGGAAAAAATGACCTGTAATCAATCTGCTTCCAAAAGAAAAAAGCTGTAATCCATGGATAAATACAATATTTTTAGGTTAGGCGTAAGTGTTTTCTTCTCTATAGAAATCTATTAAAGGAGTAGTTCACTTCCAGAACAAAAATTTACAGAATGTACTCACCCCCTTGTCATCTAAGATGTTCATGTCTTTCTTTCTTCAGTCGTAAAGAAATTGTTTTTTGAGCAAAACTTTTCAGGATTTCTCTCCATATAATGAACTTCTCTAAACGATCCCAGCCGAGGAAGAAGGGTCTTATCTAACGAAACGATCGGTTATTTTCTAAATAAAAATACAATTATATACATTTTAACCTCAAACACTCGTCTTGTCTAGCTCTGCGTGAACTCTGTTTTTTTCCGGTTCAAGACAGTTAGGGTAGGTCTAAATACTCCCATCTCATTTTCTCCTCCAACTTCAAAATCGTCCTACATCGCTGTTTTACCGTTTTTTTGTAAAGGGCGTTTGATCTTCTTTGCATGTTCACTTTGTAAACACTGGGTCGGTACTTCTGCAGCGATGTAGGACGATTTCGGTCAAGACATTTGCAGAGCTTTAACAATGTATTTCAGTCCAATTTAAAATTAAAAGGGAATATTAGACTATGTATATAGTTATTTATTTCAACTTTCTTTTTTTGCTCAGATAAGATAGTATTAATATGTTTCTTTGCTCCTAACTTTTTTCCACAATAAGCTGTATTTATATAATATCATACCATGGTCTATCTGAATACTTGATTACATTATACATTAAAACTGCTCAAAGCACAGGTAGTTCCAAGTTAGTTTAATCAGAGTTCTTTGACACATGCACACACACACACACACACACGCACATCACACACAGAGATCAGAGATCACTCAACACACTCCCTAAAACATTCAGAAGCACAGAAACTTGTCAACGCTGTGACGCAACTTTTATTAACATAATAGTTTAGATACTGAATCATACTACATTATAAACTGCTTAATTTAATTTCAAGAATTACTGTTATGTTGGCCCATAGAAAGCATACCAGGACATCATTGCTTTCACAAATCACGAGGAAATTGAACCACAAATAGACCCACAACAGGGCTCCAGACTAATTCTTCCCACTGGTTGCTCTTTAGCGACTAACTTTCTCAGTTGGTCGCACGAGCACATGAACGTTTTTTTTTTTGTTGTTTTTTTTTTGCTACAACATGGGATTAATCAATGTGGTTAACATTCAGCCTGTTCTTTTTCATCTTTTGCTATGTTATAAGCCGCGAGCTTCGGATGTTTTCACGGTCGAATTCGAGATCTTGTCACATTTTACAAGAAAAGATAATTGTCTGTTTTGTAGGGCTGGGTTTTGGCACAAATTTCACGATTCGATTCTCATTCACAAGCTTGCGATTCGATTAGATACAATATCGATTATTTTGGATATATATCAGGTAGAACACGGTTTTTCGAGTTTTTTTTTCTCCATATATTTTGCCAATTTTTTTCACCATTGCATAAATTAAATAGCCAAAATGTGCTTTTTACTGTTTTGTCTTGCTTTTCAAAGAAAAAATCTATTACAAAACAATAATTTAAAAATATTAAACACTGAACATTTTTTTACATTCTAGCAGACATTATACCAACAAAGCACAATTTAACTTAAAATTAATAAGTTAGTAAAATAATTTTTTTGGCCATCTGACCCCCTTCTTGAATCAGGCATGTATTTTTCTTCGCGCTTTGGACTTTGAACCCTGGTTAACAAGCAGGTCCGCTGCGAGCTCGTGCAGCGCTGTCAGAAGAATACATGCAATTCGTGCGTGTATTAGAAAACATAACGTGCTACAGTTTATTTACTAATTGTTTAATTTCGCGATTTCAATCATCATACAATAACCAGCAACAATCACCCCTTCCTCTTCTCATCGAAGACATGTGAAGCAGCACTAAACAGTCTCTCGCTGTCAGTGCTTGTTAGGGATGCACCGATACCACTTTTTCCAGTACTCGCCCGATACAGATACTTTTATTTTTGGTACTTGCCGATACCGAGTACCGATACCAATATTTTCATTGCATTTGTACATTTTTTAAATATTGGGTCCAGAAACCAAAATATATATATATGTATAATGTTAGTTGGTTAACTTAATTTATCAAATATA